TCTCTCTCTCTCTCTCTCTCTCTCTCTCTCTCTCTCTCTCTCTCTCTTCTGTCGCCCCTCTGTATCCTGCAAGAAAGCTCACCCCGGCGAGTCCTTTTCCCTGCAAAGACATGCAAAGTAGAACGGCGGAACTCGACGCGCGCGCGAGAGGAGAAGGGAGAGAGAGAGAGATAAAGAGAGAAAGAGAGGGAGGGAGGGAGAGAACAAGAGAGAAAGAGCGCTCGAGAAAATTCTCCTCTTTCCGAAGCTTCTTCCCGGGAACGTTGTTACCAACACGGTCCTGAGTCTTCCCGTCGAGTATACGAGAGACCGGGAGATAGGTGGATAGTCGCGCAGGAGGGTGGGTAGCTGGCGGGAAGGAAAAACGAGAAAAAAAAAGGAAGCGGCAGCGGGAGAAAAGGGAGCACCGATATACGACGGCGAAAGGGGTCAGGGGGCTGGTCTTCGGCGTATATGCCGCGGATATGTACACCGACGCGACAGGTACATCGACGTACGTACATACACCGCGTACACACATGTATACATATGCACATATACACGGTCGTAGACGTGAGATTCACGCGTGTGGCCGTGTACACGTGCGCGTCGTACGTGAGGAGGTTCTACCACCCGCGCAACGGACGGAACCGGCGGGGTCTCCCGTCTTATGTTGCACAACATTGGCCGCCATCATTGGAGCAAGCCGGGTGGAATTAATTTGAATGTTTTTTGAGCGGCACGGCCCGGGGGCCTCCGTCTCGCAAGAAGCGCCGTCGACCATCCCCCGCTGCCGACGCCACCGCCGTCGCCGTCACCGCCGCCTTTCTCAACCCCCGCGTCGCTTTCTGCTCCGCCGCGACCCGCCACGGCACCCACGGCTCGTAAATATACACCAATATTGCGTCCGCGCTATCCAAGAATACCGCAATTTATCTTTTCCTGCGCCGATCCGCGGGAATCTCGTTTTATTGGCCGACGACGCGAATGTCCCCGGTTGCGCGCACGATCGCCCGATGGAATTCCGGCTGATGGAATCCCGTCGTACGCGGCTTTCTTCTTCGGATGCTTCGATTCGAGATGCGTTTGCCGACAGAGTTTGAAAGACTGCAGGTCTTATTATTTTATTAAGTTACGAGCGCGCGCGATCGCGGTCATAAATCAGCCTTATTCGCGCCTCTCGTGAATGTTTCACCGCCTTTTGATAAGAAAAATATCATTCTAGCTAGGAGAAGCGAATAATCAGTTTACTTTCCTTTTTTTGGTTTTTCCTTGGTTTGTCTTCGACAAAGGATATTCTCTTGATAATAATCTGAAAATATACTCATCACTAAATTGTAGAAAACCTCATTACTATGTACTATGTACATATTACATAGTACTATACATGTATTATATACTATATAAAAGAGAATCTATTTTCTTTACAAAAATATTATGAAACTCTATTGAGAAAAAATGATTGGTTTGTCTTTACGTAGTAAACAAAGCCGAATTTTGGTTTTAATTTTATATTCTTTATTGAATGCTAAGCTCACTAGAATTCAGGATGTATTTTGAATAAAGAATAAGGCTAAACACATAGATATTTCCTCCTTCCTTCCCCTGTTACAAAAACTCTAAATATCCTAATTAATGACACATCAATTTAAAGCTTATGTCGAATAGATTTAAGTACGTCTCGATATTATTGTCACAGTCGTTTAGTAGATAAACAGTTCGAAATATTGCAATCCCCATAGCACAACTGTTTATTGAAATTGAAATTGCACACAAGTTTTTGGACCGTTTATCTATCAAACCATTACAAGAGTAATATTAAGATTTTATATTCTTAATATCTACTTGTCCTATATATAAGTTTCAAATGAACATATCTATTGGATTTATTGGAATATTCAAAGTTTTACAAAATCCCATGGAAAAGAATGGGCGAAACTTGGCTGCATTCTCTGATGTTTATAATGAACTTTCGATAGATTTGTGGATATATAAATTTATGGAATACTTGAAACACAAATACCGTTTGAAAGGTAAAAGTATTAATTCCCATACCTAATCCTAGACATTCTTATTGTTTTAGTTTTTAAATATGAATATTTAAGCTACCAAAACATAAAAATATATATATATATACACCTACACATATATTAAATGTATACATGTATTGAATATATACATATATTTTATGTTGAAAGTTTAAACATTCGTATTAAAAAGACCAAAACAAGAATAAAAGTCAATTTTATTTATTATTATTGATTTAAATGCAAGATGCATTTTTCTGTGCGTATATACGCGCTTAATTAATTTTTTTACGCATCTGTATTTTATAGAGAGCTTATAGTTAACATTATACGTGCAAATCACATCAGCTAATGTTAGGTCTCTGACGCAGGTCGCGCGTGGAACGAGGGAAGCGGACGCATCTAATGCTGCCGCTAAAATGGATAATGGAAGTGCGATGGAAATGCTGTATATCCGAGCTCTTACATATTATCCGACAGAATCTGATTACGGCATTCATCCCGCTAGGAGAATTCGACTATCGACGCTTCTATCATCTAATGCTGCGGAAGGTTGGAAGTTAATATCTTCAAATGCTGCTACATATGTCTTCATGCGTTAACTCGGACACATAGTGTTATTAGAAACAAGCACTTTTTCGTGACGGTAATAGTTTCACGATCGTAACACGAGAAAGAGAAAGAGAGAGAATGTCAATAATAATAACAATAAAATGAAATATTTTATTCATATTTTGATGCGGTCTTGGAATTATTTTACCAGGAAGGAAGATTTTTCAAATCCACGTGGCGCGATTTGAGGAAAATAAAATGAAGAAAGAACGTGTTCCAGTGTCACCTACGGAAACACAATCGAGACGTTAACGACGTGATAACAAAGAAACCATATCGAATATTTTGTATTTATATTTATTATACACCAATACAATAAATTGTACTAACAATATGTAACTATGTAGTTGAAAGTGTACTCCGTATACGGCCTTTGAATTATTCTACCAGAAAGGGAGACTCCTCAAATCCACGATTTGGGAAAAATAAGATGGAGGAGGGACGTATTTCAGCGCGTCGTCCTCGGAGACGCGATCGAGATGTTAACGGCGCGATAATAAAGGAACCATATCGAATAGTAGCGCGACACTCGATCGACCGTTCACCTCGAACGAACGCCGGAGCATTCGCGAATTTATCTCCTCTCCTCTCTCTCTCTCTCTCTTTGGCTCCCTCTCTCCCTCCCCCACTCTCTCGCGACCTCTCGTTCCGACGCGCGCTCTCGTGGTTTCGCGCGCGACCACCACCGGCGTCGCACCCCAGGGTGAGCACACACGGCTATACGGGTTTATGTACCAGAAGTGATGGGTACATTTGTTCGTTATTTCGTCGTGTTTTTGTTTTTACCGGGACTTTATTTACGACCGGATAGCGGAGCCACAAATATGCGACGAGATCGGCTGACGCGTTTTGTTCCGCCGGTGTACGTATGTACGTTTGCACCTACGTTCGTCCGTCCGTCGGTCCTACCGTCCGTTCGCCGGGCCCGTTTGTTCGTTCGTTCTTTCGTTCGTTCGTTCGTCCGTTCGTTCGTTCGTTCGTTCGTTCGTTCGTTCGTTCAGTAGCATCATTTCGCGCGCGGCGCTTTTATATCCACTATAATTTGCGGGGTGGCGGCGGTGTCATCCGCCGCGCTATCATTTTACCCGCGTGTCGTGTCACGCGAACCGCGAGTAATGATAATGAACTTCAAACCAGCGGCTGATGGCTGATCTATATGCGCCGCTCGTCTTTATTTTTTCCTCTTTTACATCTATTTTTTATTGGTATTTTTGGCCGAAGCAAAAAGGAAGAGTCGCGGTGGTGGTGGAGCTCGTTCCCGTTCGCAATCAATTTTCAATTTTGCTGTGTTACTCGATTATTAAATCGGGGTCGCGCAGCGAAGACTCATTAGAAACCCTTGACATTGACTCGCGAAATTGCGGCTGTTCTTTCGCTAACATCAACTGTCAAAAAACTACGTCATAGTGCAATTTTATTGTTAAAAAAAGGGAAAGGAGAGAAAAGAAAATGGTTAGATCTTCATTCGTAGGCGTACAGTTATGCGGGGAAATAGCGAGATAACAACGCGAGAAGGAGCGCGCGAGAGAAATTCATTATCAGGATCTGTCGGGAATTTGAAAAACCGAGCCGCCTTCCTCGCGGCATGTCTGCCACCCTCACGCACGAGCGCGCACGAAAGAACGCCAATTTTTTGCTCTCGAAACTTTCGGGAACGCAGTCGTCGCATGGCGAGGGCCGGGGGCGGTTTCGCATAATAAATCTAGGAGATATTTGTTAGGGTGGAAGCATTTGTCTATGTTAAGGGGGTAGAAAGGGCGCCGACAACACGGGCGCCTCCATCTATCAGCGACTCCAGCAAACACATCAATCCACGACTCACGCCACGATGGACAATTTTAAGGGCGAGATAAAAATAAATGTCGATCGGCCAAACCAATCGCCTTACCGAAATGCCGGCGATTTTTCAGACGATCCTAGCCGATCTACGGAAATGCTGGTAAATGTTCATCTATTATTGTTGCTCCCGCTGTTATTTGACAATGAGAAACGACGAGAGGCGTTGTCGAATATATACAGCGACATAATAAATTGTGCGGTAACGCATTCGCGCGACACCGACAATTCCTTCTCGTGTCCAAATTACATCGGCGCGAGACGATTGACACTGGAAGAGTTAATCTCTCTCTTTTCGTTCGATAGCGCGCACTGAGAGAAAAAACCACGATCCGTGAATGAAAAATTAACAAACGGATATTCCGTTCAAGCAATAAGTCCCATCGTTTTTGGGACCATTCGATCGAGTTTCTCATCGAGTTAATCGAGTTCGATCGTATATCTAATTGTTAATTTTTTATCCAAACCCTACTCTCAGTGTAAGAAATGCGAAATAGCTCGAAAACATCGGCGCGCTTGCTTTTCTGTCACCCATACTGGGAAACATGTAACAATAATCGCGTCGAGAATGGAGACGAGCTCTCGGTACCGAGAGAGATACTATGGGGATACTAATAATGCCATTTGGAACGTATCAAGAGTTAGAGTCTGGTTGCAGGCTGCTGGTCGTTTTGACCGCGAAACCGTGGACAATAGGCAATTTCGCATTTCAGGGGACGGTATAGGTAGTCACTGTGATCAGCATGTAATTAGGCGACGGTACGTGGGTAGACACGTGCGGACAATTCATCAGGGGGCTTTTCCCCTCAGCGCTGTTCGACCTACACCGCGCCATTTACGGGTGTTACAAGCACGCGGCGTTTTGCGTAAGTTACCTAATATTAATGCCGCGATTTCGCAATTGGTAACGCGTTAGTCACACCCTGCTGCGTCTCTGGGTATCGGGAAAAGTGCAGTAATATCCTACAACGGAACATTACTACACGTTTTTGACACAATTGTAGAAATACGATTGAAAAAAATAATATGAAAGTATCAATTTCCATACATGTATTTAACCCTGGATATTCTGCTTTGATTTTTAAACACGAATAAACTTTCAACATAAAATATATTAAGTAACTTCTTCAATATAAAATAACCGTTTAAACATAAAAGATATTGAAATAACTTTCGACACAGGATACACGTATACAGGGTGTCTCAGACTTCCCTCCGCAATTTTGGTGAAAACGTAGAATAGATTGAGGTAAACATAAAAATCTTATACAGTTTTACGACATTCGCAATAAATCTTTATCATCCGTATTATCTATATTATTAAATTCTATAGTATTAAATTTGAAATTTAAATTTGAGAATTTTTAAATTTGCATTTAAAGACTAAGACAATGAGAATGTTTGGAATTAGATACATATCCGATAATTGATATTTTGCTTCACGCACAAGACGAAGAGCTTTTCTGCGAGTTTTAAGGGGGTACTAAAGCTGAAAACTTTACCGACAGAACACTGACATTTTTCTACAAAATTTACGTCGTATTGGTTACACAGAATTACAAATACTTTTACGCAATGAAAGTACCTGCAAAAATAAATAGGAGCATTGCTCGATATGTGACGAAAACGAACACAAAATTTTTAATGTAAAATCTCAAGCTATCAGTTAGCGTAATATTTGCCTAATCCAAAAGTTCCGCAGCTTGTATATACTGAAAGTGTGGATCCTTCTAATAGAAACATTTTGAAGAACATTACTATACCTTCGCATCTGCATTTGGAAGCTTAAGAATATTGAAAAAGTTTGCAGAAAGATTTCTACACATATATAGTTAGATTAGGTTTTCCGTTGAATATGGTAAAACAAAGCAACACGCATTCATGTAAGTTCTGTATATACGAAAAGGATAGCGTGATTATGTCAGTGACGATCCGCATTATCGACGTTGTTCGAGTTCGTCATCGACTCCAACATCCCCTTAATGTTGCGAACGTATTGTTTGGCATATGTATTCACGCTATTGTCGTCGCTAAGGATGCAGTGATAATTTGATAATCGAAATATTGATATATCGTCAATCAATATCGATAAGTTGTCGATAATATTTTTTTCTTCAATATATCATTGCATTGATATTAATTTCAATGCTATTTTGTGATGTGAAATTTATCTCATTTGTCACCAACGTCGATTAAACTTTTGTCTACACTTTAATTCTTTTTAAAGATCTCAACTCAAGTTAAAGTTAACTAAGGTTGAAATTTAATCAGCGTTGATGAAATTCGCCATTAGAACCATGGCACATAGAAAAACTTAAGTAGTAAAACATAAACGGTAAGTAAATTGACAAGTCGTTAATTCTTGGACTATAAAAAGAATTATCGATGATTGGTTTTTACTTACCGCTTATGTCTTAGGCCCGTATTAATAGTTGTTACTGCCTCCTACTGAAACGCCAAGTGAGATATTCAGATATGAGTTCAGAGTTAGATAAAAGTTTTTCAGTTGAATCGCGATTACAGATATAATATCATATATATCATACAATTAAATTAAAAAATTTGGATCTAACTCTGAGTAAAAATCTGAATATCTTATATGGAACAAATGTCAAGTGACAACTATTAATGCGGACCTTATTGCTTAAGTTTTTCTTAAAACTTAAGCAGCGTTAAACTTAAGCGTTCCCGATCTTTCATATATGAATTGACGTAACATAAGATGTAAACTTAGACTGAAGAACTAATGAGGATATTACTTTAGATTACTTTAAGAAAAGATACAATTGACGGTAAATCTGATCGTAAATCAGAAGTAACTAGTATTGGATTAAAATTTTAGTTATTCAGTTTGAATTCTAAGATTTATTCGTGTTGCTTACACTCTTCACACTTTTCGCACTTAGAACGAAACAAAAGCGCATTTGGACGCTGAAAGAAGCAAGAGCAAAGAGATTGAGTGCAAAAAGTGCACAAACACATGAATAAACCAATAAAAATTATATAAACTAGGGGATTTTACTTCATTAAATACTTTCGATTTAAATATATATTGGTATTTCACAAAATTATCGATATTTCTGATCGACGATAATATCGTTATTGATATTTCAAGAAATTGTCGCAACTATAGTCGTGACTCGCATTATTCTCTATTATCGACTCCATCGCCCGAATCCCATCTGCCAGAATTCTTATCTCGCGCGAATTTCTCTCACAAAAGTGCAGCCGCTTATGGTAATTCTCTAAGGAGGCATTAGCCGCACAAATCGTGAACTGCTCGTACCGCGTGTTTGTCGGGCAGGCACTCGACGTAATTAAAATTCGTTTCTCCGCTGTTGCAGACGGCCTCGCCGGTATTTCACG